CTCCTTGGAAATTTTGAAGTGACTTGTTGATAACCCTTTAAAGAAAAGGATGTCTTTGGAATCACTCAAAAATACCAAAAGGTGAACAAGATATATTCCTTTGAAGTTCAAAACCCTAGCTTCTAGATCAAGAAAATTCCTTGAGGAACTTTGATAAGTTTGAACAAACTTCTTGTACCAATATTCTTGCTTTGTGAATAGAAGTTGTTGAGGATGATAATGAAGACTCATAGCCACCAAAACCACTTCCATATCTTGAAATTTGAGGGAACTATGCCCTTGTGACCAATATGAACAAGGCCTTGTCCAAACATAACAGCTTCTCCAATCAACCCCTTGTACTTTTGAGTCAAATCTAATAACCTTGAAATATGATGAACCAAAACAAACTTGTCATGCCAATTCTCCCAAAACCAATCCATTGGTGAGATTTGAACTTCTCAAGCTATATTGACTAGGGAATGGAAATAAACTCATGAACCCATGGAGTAACTTGTTAAATCTCATTGCCCTTCACCTACATGGATAACAAGCAAGACAAAACAACATTGCATTTTATTAGTTAAATGAAGAAATCAAAACAATATTCATGATCACAAAAGGAACATAAGTCAAGGTGCTTGGTAATCCCTCAAAAGGGCAAGATCAAATGTAGGGAGGGGAACCAAGAATCCTAGTGTGATCTTGTTGTGAGTGAATCAACATGGTATGATGAAGGGATCTTAGGGGCAAAAATTGGGGTACAACAGGATGGTATTTAGAGGACTTCCAAGCTGGTGGAAGATCATTAGCTTCCATTGGCTATTCTTCCTCATCTTTTGAAAGTCTTGTATCTTTTTCTTCCTCATCGTCAACTATTTTGGACTGATCAATTTCCTCAACAGTTTCTTTGAGTATGTCTTCAATAGATACACTTGCACCATCAAGAGAAATACCTTTTCTGATATGTTTTGGATAAGATTCATCAAAAGAGACATGAACTGACTCCTCAACAGTAAGTAAACGTTTATTGTATACCCTATATGCTTTGCTTGATTGTGAGTATCCGAGAAAGATACCTTCATCTGGTTTTGCATCAAATTTTCTAAGATTTTCTTTTCCATTATTCAAAACAAAACATTTGCAACCGAATACATGAAGATGTGACAAGTTTGGCTTTCTTCCTTTTAAAATTTATAAGGTGTTTTATCCAAAATGGGACGAATTAATATTCTGTTTAAAACATAACAGGTTGTGCTAATTGCATCAGCCCAAAAATATTTTGGTAATCCACCTTCATTGAGCATTGTTCTCACCAACTCCTCTAAGACGCAATTTTTGCGCTCCACAACTTCATTCTGTTGTGGAGTTCGAGGTGCTGAAAAGTTATGCTCAATACCATGATTGTCACAATACTTATCAAAGAGATGGTTTTGAAATTCACTTCCATGATCACTTCGAATTGCAATTATTTTCAATTCCATTCTGTTTTGAGATAGTTTTGCAAAACTCTTAAAAGCAGAAAAAGTTTCATTTTTTCTATGAAGGAATATAGTCCAAGTAAATCTAGAGTAGTCGTCAACGATCACAAAACCATAATAATTTTCTCCTAGACTTTTTGTTCTAGAAGGTCCAAAGAGGTCCATATGGAGAAGCTCAAGGGGTCGTGAAGTGGAAATCATATTTTTAGATTTGAAAGAGACCCTCGTTTGCTTTCCCATTTGGCGCGCATCACATAGGTCGACTCATAATGATGCTTTATGAGTAAAACACATTTTTAACTCATTTTAAACATGTTATACTATATTTTTGTAATGCACACATGTATTTATTATTTTACATATATTTGTAATCATTCAAAACCAATTATGAAGGGGTTGCTCACAGGCTTGCCTTTCATGCATACCTCACATGACTTCTCAGGCTTCACAATCTTCAGAGTGCCACACATGAGCTTCTTAGAACTCATATGCCCTAAACTTCTATAGTTCAGATGCCCCAATCTCTTGTGCCACAACTTACTATCACCTTCAGCGCCTTCTGCACTAAGGAACTCTATTTCAGCTATCTTCATATTCACCTTGAATATTCTATTGCTTCCCTGTTCAAACTGCATAATCAACTTCTGATTGGAATCATACAACTTCAAGAGATTGTCCTTTATTACAACTGAGAAACCTTTCTCAATGAGCTGACCCACACTCATCAGATTACTCTTAATGCCAGAAGCATACCAAACATCCTTGATCAGAACAGTCTTCTCATTCTTCACTTTAACTTTGACATTTCCCATACCTTCTTCATTAAGTTTCTTATCATCAACACATCTGATCTTTGTCCTCCTTCTGGAGTCAAAATCTATCTGCCATTTTTTGTTTTCAGTCAAGTGGTTTGAGCAGCCAATGTCTATATACCACCAGTCTACCTAACACCTTCCATCACACTCAGAAGCCATCAATAGCACAGGTTCATCATCGGAATCTCCTCTGGCTATATTGGCTTCTTCTGATTTTCTTCCCTTGTTTGACCAACAATCTTTAGCAAAGTGGCCAAACTGCTTGCAACAGTAACATTGAGCCTTCTTCTTGTCGTACTTCTCCTTTCTCTTATGATATTTCTTCTCATCAGAAGTAGAGGTTTCTGACTTCTGAGACCTACCACGTATTTTCTGCTTCTGGCCTTTCTTGACAAAAGAAGCTTTCACAGCCTGCTCAACCTTCCTCTCAGAAGTTCTTTCAGTAAGACGCAACTCTTGGGCCTCTAGACTGCTTTGCATCTCTTCTATTCTCATGGTGTCTAGATCTTTAGAATGTTCATTTGCTACAATAAAGTAATCAAATTGAGGGGTAAGAGACCTCAATATCTTCTCATTGATTACTTGTTCAGAAAGAGTTTCTCCATAAGCTTTCATCTCATTAGTGATCAGAATCACTCTAGAGATGTACTCTGATACCTTCTCGTTGTCCTTCATGTTGAGATTCTCATACTGCTTTCGTAGAGATTGAAGCTTCATCTTCTTGACTGTTTCATCACAATAGTAACACCTAACGAGTGTGTCCCAAGCAGCCTTCGTCGCCGTCAAATTAGCGATTTTCTCAAACAAGTTCACATCTACACACTGATGGATGTAGAACAACGCCTTCTGATCTTTCTTCCTTTTATCTCTCTGCGTATTTCTCGGTTCCTTCGTCGCATCCGCTGCAACGAGAATGTAACCTTTGGTAACAAGCTCAAGAATATCTTGAGCACCGAACAACACGCGCATCTGAATCATCCAGCGATTCCAATTCTTGTCATCGAACACTGGAAATTTGGTGCTCAGACTACGGTTTCCATTCATCTTCAATATTGTGCAAATCACTCAGATCTCACCAAACAAAGTGTTTTTCAATCCCGCAGAATCAGAAAATGTGATTCTGTTACGATTCTGTTCACGAAATCAATCACACAACACCTCATTGTTTCACTCGTATTTCCCATGTTTCCCTATGAATCTGAACCGGAGCTCTGCATACCAATTGTTAGTGCACAAGGTTATGAAGAACAGAGAATGAGAGGATAAATTTATTGTTTTGTAATGACGGTTACAAAGATGTAAGAAAGATTATGATTATCAAAAGACAGCTACTACTAGTCTATTTATACACACAAATTAGGGTCACATAGACAATATATTAAGAATACTAAATTACCCTTGAATAAATAGAATATCAAAATCTCACAAACCGAGAGAACCAGACAGCAAATTCATAACCTATAGCACAGTGCACTTGCTATGATCAGTGTTATCAAATGGAAATCGGAAAAAAATACCAATTTGTTCAAATATACAGTACTACAGCACCCCTATGCTATCTGACAAATGAGGATTTGTTCAAATTCTGCTACGCTGCAGCTGCTATTTGACAACACAGATTAAAACAGACCTGATAACATAATAACTTACCGATTCCATGTGTACTGAGAGCATCAATATCATGTTTTTGGTCTCTTCGAGCAAGGATGCCTCCATGTACGTTAGGGTGCAGACCATTGTATTCATTGTTAGTAATTCTGCCAAAAATTACACAAGCCGAATTCGAACAAGATTTCAAAATCAAAATGCTAGCCGGATCGAGTCACAATTACACTGACCATTTCAGGGAAATGAGTAAGCTGTTCAACTTTAGTAACAGCTACTCCAGCACTTTCCAATGCAGAAGCTGTTCCTCCAGTAGAAACAATAACGAACCTAAAACTCAAATACAAGATAATCATCGAAATGCAAAAAGCATGAACAATTCAAAATAATGTAATATTCTAAAATTTTAAAAACAAACAAAAAGTCCATTATTTAGAATAAAAACTACCCTAGTTCTTGGAGTCCATTTCCAACCAATGTGATGTCAAAGCTTGCTTGCTGCTTGTTTCAGCCATGGCTTTGATGTGAATGCAGCTGAATCGCCGTGAAGATGAAGAAACCTGAACATACCCATTTAAAAATCAATACCAGTGAACAAGAATAAAGTGAAAAATTGGTGTGGTAGTAAAAGGGAAGAAGAAAAATACCAAAGTTGTGGGAAGAAAATTGTGTTTAAGTTTCCTTATTTGATGCTTTTTCTTCTTCAAAAGATTACCATACAACATTTTTCAATTCAGACATAATTTTAAACATGTATTCCAAACAATGACTTCAAATTTTGATGCTTTTTGATGAGTAATATCAGGCATCGTTCCACGATTCACATTCAAATGTGCAGTGTGCTAAATTCATAACATATGCAAGTTACAAATTAATTACAAATGTTATTTACAATCGCGTAGAAGTAGGTGACATTAGGCCCCGACCGACTACAGAAAAATTATGTTGTACAGGTGGAATTTTATAAAAGAAGTAAAAGTCCCTAAACCCGGGAGGATGTTGAAAAAAATGAATAAGTCAAGTAATTGGCATGACCAAGAATATAGCTAAGGTTGCTACTAAAGTAATTATTTAGCAAAACTATAAATCACAAGGATAAGATTTCCTATTAGGCAAAGAAATGTTAAGTGTGCTTTCAGATTATTTAGCTAAGGTTGCTGTTTGGAAAATAACTACTAATGATGAAGAACCAGTTGTACCAAATGTTTGTTCTTCCAATACCGTGCCGAAGACTAATGAAAAAGAAGAGAATCTGGCACGACATCCTTGGATAATCACGAATGAACAAGAGGAGAAGCCGTCACCACATTCAAGGATGCAGAAGAATGAACGAGAGGATCAACAGCCACCACATTCTAGGGTGCAGAAGAATGAACAAGAGGAACAGCTGCCACCACTTTCTAGGATGCAGATGAATGTGGTTCCTTACTCATCATCATCATCATCATCTCTAGGATATCGATTTACATCTAGTGGCCAATATCAGCATGATTATCCATATTGAGGCCAAGGGCAGCAGGGTTTCCCATGTTACCAATGGCAATAGGATTTGTCATATAGCGGCCAAGGGCAGCAAAATTACTCATATTAGGGCCAAGAGCAGCAGGGTTTCCCATATAGAGGCCAAGGGCATCAGGGTTTCCCACACCAAGGGCAACAGGATTTCTCATATAGTGGTCAAGGGCAGCAGAATTACCCATATAGAGGCCAAGGGCAGCAGAATTACCCATATAGTGACCAAGGGCAGCAGGGATTACCATATAGAGGCCAAGGGCAACTGAATTACCCATATCGTGACCAAGGGCAGCAGGGACTCCCATATAATGGCCACTGGCAGCAGAATGACCCATATAGTGGCCAAGAGCAGCAGATTATCCCATATAGTGGCCAATGGCAGCAGACTATTATCCCATAAAACCATGATGATTCTTATCCTCCAGTATTACCTTTACATCATGCAGTTGCCACTCAAATTGCTCCACATAATCTCGAAATTGGCTCCCAGAATCCTAATCATCTAGGACCTGCTCCATATGGTCACATTCCCATGTTTCCAGGATACTTTGGTCCCCCAGGCCCAGATCATATTTCCAGAATACTTTTGTCCACCAGGCCCAGATACTAATGCTCCATATGGTCACGCTTTCGTCCACCAGGCCCAAATACTAATGCTCCATATGGTCACGCTTCCATGTTTCCAAGATATTTTCATCCACCATGATATAAAGAAGCAGATTTCGTTATGTGATTTATTTTGAGAAAGAGGCAAACATTTTTGTTTATTGCTTGTTAAATAAAATACACTCTTGATTCTTATATAGACACAATGACTTTTACAATTCCAAAAGATAACTGCTACTAATAAAAGCTATCATAACTTACTAACTTTTGTCCTTCCAAATTATATTGGTTCTTAATCTTCCTACTACCATATTTAATATGAAAACTTATTACTAATGACATTAAAGTTTACTCAATAAAACTCTTCTGTAAACTTAAATGTTTCTTCCATCCAGCATTCATATCATCTTCTTTCCTCTGTCGAAGATCTCTTTTGATAGTGGTTTTGTGAAAATATCCGCTGCTTGATTTTTGCTTGCTACATGCCTCAATTCGGCACTTCCCTCCTTCACATGTTCACGAATGAAGTGAAATCGAACATCAATGTGTTTGCTTCGTTCATGATTCACTGGATTCTTTGCCAATTCGATAGCTGATTTATTGTCCACTTGTATTATTGTTGGACCTTCCTGTTTTAACTTCATCTTGCTTATCAACCTTCTGAGCCATACTGCATGACAGACGCACCAGGATGTTGCCACATATTCAGCTTCACACGTCGAAAGTGTTACTATAGGTTGCTTCTTCGATAGCCAAGTAAATACCGTGTTTTCCATGAAAAACACATATCCAGAGGTGATCTTTAGATCGTCTATGTCTCTGCACCAGTCACTGTCAGAATAGCCAACTAACTTGTAGTCTTCTATTTTTGAATAAAGCATTCCTAGTGATACTGTTCCTTGGATGTATCTTAGAATTTGTTTCAGCGCCTTCCAATGTGTGTGTACTGGCTCCTCCATGAATCGACTTACAATGCCAACACTTAGTGAAATGTCTGGCCTTGTGCATGTGAGATATCGAAGGCTACCTACCAAGCTTCAATATTTGCTTCCTTCAACCCGTTCTCCTCCATCAAACTTTGACAGTTTTGCACCTGGTTCCATTGGCGTCGAAGTTGGATTGCAATTCTTCATTTTATATTTTTCTAGGATTTCCTTTGCATATTTTTCTTGTGAGATAAAGATTCTAACTTCTTCTTGTCGAACCTCCAGACCAAGAAAGAATATCATCAGACCTAAGTCTGTCATTTCGAATTCGCTTGTCATGGTGCTCTTGAAATCTTCGATCATCTGAACATCACTGCCTAGAAAGATAAGGTCATTAATATAGAAAGCAACAAGTAATACATTACTTCCATTTTTCTTCACATAGAGAGCATGTTCATAAGGACATTGCTCGAACCCATTCTCTTTGAAATATGTGTCAATGCGTGTGTTTCATGCCCTAGGTGCTTGCTTCAGCCCATACAACACTTTCTTCAGTTTCAACACCTTCTTCTCTTCTCCAATTCTCATGTATCCAAGTGGTTCTTCGACATAGATTTCTTCTTCGAGCACACCATTCAGAAATGTTGTCTTGACATCCATTTGAAATATTGGTCATTTGAATTGAGCAGCTTGAGAAATGAGTAATCGAATTGTCTCCATTCTTGCAACTGGCGCAAACACTTCGTCATAGTTAATTCCTGCTTTTTGTTTGTATCCCTTCGCAACCAGTCGTGCTTTGAATCTTTCGATTTCTCCTTGAGCATTCATCTTTTTCTTGAATACCCACTTTACACCAATGGGTTGACTACCTTTTGGCAATTCGACTAGCTCCCAAGTGTTGTTGTGTTCGATTGCTCTAATCTCTTCGTCCATGGCACTTTTCCACTTCTTGTCTCGTAACGCTTCTTCGTCACTGATGTTTTCAGCATCTGCCAGAAGGCACACAAGATGCACCTCACTTGTTGAATCATATAAGTCTTGCAAACTTCTCATTCTGGGTTGTAGAGGTTCATCTTCGTCTTCAGTTTCTTCATGTTCTGTTGGAATACTTGTTGGTACAACTACAGTTGTTTCTTCGACTGCGTCAATAACCTCTGTCGAATTGTTCCAGTCCCACTTGCTTGCTTCGTTCATTTGAACGTATCTACTCACGATCACTTTCTTGCTTATGGGATCGAAGAGCTTGTACCCTTTCGTCTTCTCATCATATCCAATGAATATATACTTTTGACTTTTGTCTTCAAGCTTTGTTCTTCGTTGATCTGGTACATGTGCATAAGCTATACTACCAAATACCTTGAGATGAGAAACTGTTGGCTTCTATCCACTCCATGCTTCTTGTGGTGTTTTGTCTTCTAACTTCGAATATGGACATCTATTTTGAACATAAACAACACATTGTACTGCTTCTGCCCAGAATTCTTTCGACATGTTCTTGCTTTTGAGCATTGATCGAATCATGTCAAGAATAGTTCGATTCTTCCTTTCAGCCACACCATTTTGCTGAGGTGAATATGGTGCAGTTAGGAATCTCCTTATGCCCTGTTCTTCACAGTACTTCACAAAGTCCATCGAAGTATACTCACCTCCTCTGTCAGATCGAATTGCTTTGATGTGTCTGTCTGTTGCCTTCTCCACCATTACTTTGAAATTTTTGAACACCTCTAATGCTTCAGATTTTTCTTTCAGGAAGTAAACCCAGGTTTTTCTTGATAAGTCATCAATAAAAGAAATTAAGTACCTTTTTCCACTGAAGGATTTTGGAGCAATTGGCCCACATATGTCAGTATGTATCAATTCGAAAATATATTTAGCTTGATACTCTGCCTTCTTTTGAAATGAGGTTCTTGTTTGTTTGCTGAGCACACATTCTTCACAGAACTTTCCTTTGAAATCCATGTCTGGTAGTTCATGCACCATATTCCTTTTCGCCAACCTTCTCAAACCAGCATGATGTAGATGACCAAAGCGCATATGCCATAGTGACGCTTTGTCTTGCACTTTGATTTGCAGACATTTCTCTTGAACGTTCCTCAAGTTCAGTTTGTACATTCGATTTCTTTCCATTTCAACACGGGCAATCAGATGTCCCACTTTGTCCTTCAAATGCAGTGTTTGATCTTTCATAAGTATCGAAGCACCTTTTCTGTAAGTTGTCCCAGACTCAATATGTTGGTCTTGAGATCTGGTACATAGTAGACGTCTTCGATTGATCCAATCAAGCCATCCTTCTGCAAGTAACTGATTGTGCCATTTCCTTCGACCTTCACTTTCGATGCATCTCCAAAAGACACATTACCATCTTCAATTCTCTTCATATCTTTAAACAGGTGTTTGTAACCACACATGTGATTACTTGCTCCTGAGTCAAGATACTAAACATTGTCATTATTGGTGTTGATTTCGTTTTGAGCCATTAGGAGAAAGCCTTCATTCGATTTAGCTTCCAACGCTAGGTTGGCTGTTTCTTCAATCTTCTTTTCGATTCGACAGTCTTTTGCAAGATGTCCCACTTTGTCACAATTGTAACATTTGTAGGAGTTGCAATCCTTCGCGTAATGACCATACTTCCCACACTTGTAGCATTTGAAGTTGGAATGATTCAAACGACCACCTCTTTGACCACGTCCTCTGCCACGCCAATTTTGTTGGCTCGATTGTCCTCTTTCGAAGTTTCTACCTCTACGAATTCGACCACTGTCACGGCCTCTACGTCCACGTCCTCTTCCTCGAAAGTTTTGAGAAAAGAGTACCTTTTCGTCTTTGTTCGATTCCTTGGTTTGATTTGCTTCTTCGACTGCTTCTTCTTTCTTTTTCATCTTTCGTTGTTCATGTGCTTCGAGAGAACCAACGAGCTCTTCAACTGAGAGCGTCGAAAGGTCCTTCGACTCTTCTATTGCACACACAATATTATCAAACTTGTCTGTTAAAGATCTCAAGATCTATTCAACAACTCGTGCATCAGTTACTGTCTCTCCATTTCTGGTGAGTTGATTCACCACCTTTTGCACACGTGTGATGTAGTCAGATACAATTTATGTGTCCTTCATTTGTATTCTCTCCAATTCTCCACGAAGAGTTTGAAGTCGAACTTGCTTCACTCGATCTGCTCCTTTGAACACTCTTTCTAACGTGTCCCACGCTTGTTTCGACGTGGTCGAACCAGCAATTTTTTCGAAGCCTGATTCATCTACAGCCCTGAACAACATGTATAATTCTGTTTTGTCCTTCGATCGCGTCTCTTTCAACGCCTTCGTTTGAGCTGTCGTATATCCCCCAACTTTTGTTGGTTCTTCAAACCCTTCATGGGTCACATCCCACGCGTCTAGAGATCCAAGAAGAGCTTTCATTTGGATACTCCAGTTTTCATAATTTGACTTCGTTAGCCGTGGCAACA